AATGTAGTCCATCGTAGATCCTCCTTCCGCGCCTCCATTCTGTTGTCCTGATAATAACCCAGTATTCTCGCTCGCTTCGCCGTTCGATGGTTGAGGCATCGTGGGAATCGACTTCTGCCTTGACTTCGCACGCTTCAGTTCTTGTCGAAATGGGGTTCCGGCTACATATCATCAAAAAGAAGAGGTAAAGTTAGCCCAAAGAGTTCAATCAAATTAGGTTCTTGTCTGGGCGCCTTGGCTCTATGGCTGTGCTGGAGGATGGATAGATAGCAAGGGCTGCTTTTTGACTTGGCGTCCGAAGATCGGTGTGATATACCAGTATCGACAATATATCGTAGTAATCTGCACTGCAGAGGGTTAAAGTGAGGGTTGGGTTGGTGGAGCATTGGTGTTGGAAGTCTTCGAGCTTTCAATGACGGCGGATAAGAGCTGGGCGTAGCTTCCGACGACCAATTGTCCCAAAGCAGAATAGACATCAGGTGCCAGCGGGGTAGCAGGAAAAAAGTCTAACTTACAAACCATCTTGGCGACTTTATCTTTGAAGAGCGAAGTCGTCCCGGGGTGAACTCGTGGACGTTTCGAGGGCCACAAGAATGGTTTTGGAGGGGGGAGCTGCTGCGCCTCCTTTTCTGTACCGTCTGTATGGACGCGAGAGAACCGCGAGGCAAGGAGATCGCTCACCTACCCGCCAATCGAGAATGCAGGGTCTTCGAGGTCTCGCAGATGCGGATGGAGGACCGAATGTACCGGAGCTCGTGCAGTAGGTCTGAATGATTAGGAATGGTTTGGAGGGAGTTGTTGTAATACCGAAAACTGAGGAAGAGGCCGTGGCACGGAAGTATGTAGCCAAGATCGCCAAGTGGGAATTAGCAGAGATATAAGAGCTTTTGCTAGCTTCATCTACATACGGCAAGCTGGAAGTTTAGAGCTGAACCTTGATTTTCTGGCTTCGGAAACTCAGTTGCATCGGGATTATTCACGCCATTACAGGGGAGCTGCAGGAAGCTGCAAGCTTCCCCACGCTTCACTGTTTCAGAAGCTTCAGGATTCAATACATAAAGAGAAGCACCAACCAATATCTTGAACCATATCTTTTGATCTGATTAACCAAATTCTCGCATCCTCAAACCAGCAAGCTGCTGCAGAAGCTATGGCCTTCAAAACCGGTAGCTCATTGCGAGTACAAGTCGCTGACGTACCACCCCGCGGTCATGCAGCGTGGCTTTGCACTGCCACTCTTGGCAGCGTGCGACAGCGCATTAGTTTTGTGGATTCAGGAGCTTAACTGGACGAACTCTTAAACGCTCTCAATGCCAAGACAATAGAATATGCGAAGTGTAGCGATGCCGGCAGGTCGGAATAGCTATTCGATGGCGAGGAGCTGAGGACTGATCTGAAGCTGAGCTCTTTGAAGCAAAATAGGCGTCCTCTTGGGACCATCTTGCGGGAAATGCTCAAGCACGGCAAGTTGTGTTGACGTGAAGCCTGTTTCGGCCAACCACCAGAACCTGTATCAACACTGGCCAAGCTCTATCGTGTGTGTTTCCCATATGTTTAATTGTCATTATCCAAGTCCAACCCAATATGAGAATCATGAAGTCGCGCCAATAGATGCTATATCCCCAAAGCATCGTATTTCCCAGCCACTGCCCTCCTCACAGCCAACGAAGGATAGTTAACCTTATTCTTCGCCCTCAGCACTTCATCTCTCTCCTTCCGCCTCTTACCATCCGCCTCGTTCCTTTCCATTTCCCTTTTCTTCCTCCTAACCTCCTCCTTATCCTTCACCCTATCCCCGGCCCTGTTCCATTTCCCTTTACCCCTCAACTCCCTCTCCCTAGCCCTCCTACACTTCTCTTCCTCCTCCTTGCTCACCACCCACTCCTTCGCCAACACGTCCCTTTTGAAGTCCATAATTTCGTTCCAGCACTTCACTTCTGCATCTGTGCTTCTCAACACCTCGACTTTGACAACCTCAACCTGTTTCTGCTTCCAGTAATCGCCTATTCTGCCCTTAACTTTGACCACCGTACCAACATCCATTTGCTCCCAGGGAACAATAGGTTCCTGGACCGACGGTGCGGATTTTCCCCCTTGTTTCCCCTGGTCGTCCACTTTGCCCGTGCTCTTTTTTGTGTTTGTGGAAGAAGTCGAAGCCTGGTTATGGATGTCTGCGATCTGGTTCAGATGCGACGGGACGCCAACAGCTGGATCTTTCTGTGGTGGTGTCGGAGCAACACAAACACACTCTACACACAACCCACTGCTATCGTCAACCGTATACACGTTCTTCCCTGCATACTCGTCCACGGCGACAACGACACCTGTAACGCGGACCCATTTTATCGGATGATTCTTGTAATGAAACAGTGGCCTTTCTATCCCCACCACAGATAATTAGCTTCCAATCTGACATAGTTTCATTCTCATTTCTCAAACCAAACTCAAGCTGAGGCAAGGTTCGGAGCTAGGCAAGACTCACCATCACAAAACATGCCCACCTTCTCCAGCGCGTGAATATCCGTCGCGCGCAACGGCACCCATTTTCCGATCGTGGGGGAGAGGACGTGGCAGTAGTCAGGATAGATGGTTAAATTCTGAGGCGCGGATGTCATGGCATGTTTGTGGTGTTCGTGCAGAGTTGCGCGCAGTCAAGATATGTGGTGGGAGGTTTGGTGTTGAGGTTGGTTGGGAGACGCGTTTGGGATTGGGGGCGAAAATGGTGCGAAGTCACGGGTGCGGGCTGCACGTGTCAGCGAATTTTGGGAATTTCATAGAGAGTCTCCTGGATATCTGTGAACAGCTGCAATTTGTTTTGTTTGATGTTTAGACTGATATGGGTCAATTAGAATGGAAGGGAATGTTTCACTCATTTGTTGTTAGAGTTTGTCTTTGTTTTGGTCTCTCATACAGCGTCTTAAACCAGCCATGATATCCATCCCTTCCAAACGCCCCGCCATGCATAACTAGAGAATAGGTGAAGACAGAGCCTCAATGCTTCGTACGCTTCGTTTTTCGGCCACTCTCGGCTGGGGCCTTCTTCAACCTTGCAGCCGCAGCCTGGAAAGCCTCCTCCGAAGGCATATCACCGTCATCATCTTCCTCATCCTCGGAAACCCTCTTCTTGCCCTTCTTCCCCTTTGGCTTCTTCGCCTCAGCCTTATACTTAGCCTCCAAATGATCTAGAAAGTTGCCTCTACCCGCCTGCCTCTTCTGAATCAGCGCCGCCAAATCTCCCAGCCCACCATCCGCCTTCTTCCCATTCAGCTTATCCTTCAGCCCCAACTTCTCCGCGTACGCCTCGGCCTCTTTACCCTGTCTCCTCGCACTCTCCATCCTCTTCTCCTTGGCCTTCTGCGTCTCCTCCGTATACGCCTTATACGCCTTAACCTCCCCCTTCTCAATCGCCTCATCAATAATCACCCTATACCTTTCTTCATCTTCAAGCGGATCGCTCAGCATAACCGTACCATAGATTCTCACCCAATTGCCCTTAAACTTCTCATACGCATTAAGTAAATCATCTTTCTCCTCATCCGAGCCCTTGTATTGCCGCGAAAAAGCTTCAATAGACTCGGTGGTGATGACATCCCGGAATTGTTCGGAGTAGTATTCGCTCCAACTGAAGTCTCCATCAAAGCCGATTGATTCGGCAGTGGACCCGGTCACATCATAGCGTTTGCGTCTGACGGGGTCAGAGAGGACGGCGTGTGCGAAGGCGATTTCTTGGAATTTGAGGGTGGCTTGATCTTTGGTTTCTGGGGTTGCTTTGTCTGTGACGAGGCATTAGCACTTTATGTAGCAATAGCTTGACGCAAATGATTGGCTTGAAAGTTTTCCAGTCGCCAAGGAGAGTTCTAATTTCAAGTGGTAGCATCAATATGCTACGCTTACCTGGATGGTGCTTCAACGCAGCCTTGCGATACGCGGCTTTCACCTCATCTGCAGTCGCTGACTTCTCGATGCCCAAGACCTTGTATGGCTCGATAGTAGGCGGCTCCTCATCCTCGAGATCGATCTCTTGTTTGCGTGGCATTTTGCAGTCGTTGTGGATGGAATGGGAGGTTGAGGGTCAGAAATCGGAGGTGTTATTGACTTGGAAGATGGTCAGCGCTGGTGAGACGCGTTCTGGGGAAAAGGCGCGGTTGGTTCGAGTTCTCGCGTAGAGTGTCCCACTTCTTCAACCTCCAACAACCATCGAAATCCTCGAAATCAAGTACGGAGGAGTCATCACTCGCAGATCCTCTTTGATTTCGATTATGCAAAGAGCATTCCTCCGCATAAGATTCTGTAGAACCACATAGCACGGTTCTATTGTCCCACGCCTGCTCGAACATCTGCCGATTACTCGTGCTATTGCGTCTACGTTCTGATTTCAAGCACTTGAGGTTGATCGTGCTCATTACTGAATTATGATTGTAAAGCTTCACAATGTTCAAATATGATTCAAATCTCATTGCGTTGCTTTAAAATTGATAGCTTTCTCAGTTGCGTTTCCAGAGCGCTGTCTAGGTGCTCTCTCCAAGCTCGCAGTCAATTTCGAAAATCGTCACTTTACAATGTTCCGAGGCAAAGCTGTACAATGATTCAAGTCGAGGTTGTACAATGACCCCGGCTGAAGCTGTGCAATATCCCAAAGCTGAAGCTATATAATGCCCCAAGTCGAATCTTTACAATGTCCCAAGTCCAAGCTGTACGATGATCTAAGTCGAGGTTCAGCTAAAACCTAATGCTTTTTGTGTTGCCCAAGCTCGATGGCTCCGAAAGTACCAGAACGCCGTGGTAAAATCAAAACCTTTGCCACCTGGATTATACTGCATGAAGACTTAAAAGGCAAATAAAAGCATGAAGATGTTCAAGTCCTGCAAAGACTTGCTTGGAACATCTTGGATCCCAAAGGTTCCTCGCTTAGTATTCGTAAGCGAGCAAGGTTACAGAAACGTGATCTTCTCTCCTTCTCTTCAAAGCACTAAAAAAGAGCAAAAAAATTATTTGTTTTGTGGCCGAATCAGGATTCGAACCTGAGACGTCCTCTAAGCCAGCAGTTCTTCTTACGCCCCCCAAAACGACCCGTCGGAGCGACCTAAGGTACCCAGAGGAGCGACCTCTGGCTAGGGTGCAAGTGAACATAATGGAGAGGCGCTCTACCGCTGAGCTATCCAGCCGTTTTTGAATTTGAGTTAGCGAACAATTTGTTATTGTTCGATATACGGCTGTCGCTAGCGCGTCCTCCACTTCGGATAGGGGGTTGATGACATGGGTAGTGGAGTGTCTTGAGATTCACGTATGCATTTCTCGCAGAACCACAGGGGTCTGGTTCTCTATGTTCAATGTACCTTGCTTGGTAGACACATTCAAGTGTAACACCCACTTTCAACCTCAATGCCCAAGACAATCTTGGAAAATGGATCAACAAACATTTCTCATTGTCTCTCAATGTTCTGTACAATGAGGAGACATAGCAAACTTCTCATTAAGGTTCTTCATGCCCAATATTCCTTGCTTGGTAGACACATTCAAGCTTAAAATCCACTTCCAACCCCAATTTCCCAGGCAGTTTTGGAACAATGATCAATAAACATTTCACGTTGTCTCTGAATGTTCTAGACAATGAGACAGGACAAAAATTCTCATCAGCAATTCACAGAGACTACGCAAGGGAAAGGCCAGTCATAGTTCCCGGTAGTCTCAAGTATTCTGATACCCTTTTGTAATTTGAGTAGCCTCTCTATTCTCAGCTTCTAGACAATGCCCAATCTATTCATACCACCCTTGCCGACTAATCAGGACTCCACAACCAGTCTCCCGGCCTCTCCTCTGGTTCCTCCATGTCGCTTCCACGAACACTCCAGTCGAAGAAGTCCTCGTCTGAGAAGACGGTCAAGTTATCTTGATAATTAGACTCATCGTCGCAATAAACAGTTTCACCAGTAGAATATCCGTTGCTTTGCCATAGTAAGTAGCTAACATTCCCTTCCAGCTCCATCACCCTGAGCTCAAGAACCTCTAAATTCACCGCTGTGCTGGGGGCTTTAGGGTGTGAGAAATAAAAGTCTTGCAAGAACCACAGGATTATGAAGATTATTATGCCCGTTACGAAATAACCGATTATGCGTGTGGATATTGTTATTATGATCCCTGGGTGGTGCATCTTGCTGTATGTGGAAGATGGTGAATGAGTAGATGTTGCTGAGGCGAGTAATGGTGAGGACGGATGAACATAAGTGAATCGAGTGATCGAAGAATTGATTCCTGAATTTCTTGTGTTGGCTCTGAGTATCGAAAATGACTTTCGATCTGGGAAGATATGTACTATTATATTGAAGCGCCAGGCCATTTGAGAAGTGCTAACCCAAGGTAGCTACGAATTCGCGGTTTGGAAAGGAAGCGGCAGAGCTACCTTCTCCGTGTTCAGATTTGGTACAGCAAGCACAATTCACTCTAGCCTCGTTCCTTTCTCCGGTCCTTGGATATTCTCGAAGAGGTATAGCACCCGCACTCTGAGGGCTATGGTCCCATGCCAGCACCTGCGCTCGAGCCCATGTCCTCAAATTGCATCGCTATTGCTCTACTTATTATCTGCGAATGTATCCCAAAAATGGCGGGTACTGCCCTGTCAATTCCATGGTTTGAAGAGACTACAGTCAAGCCAGCCTAAGTCCAGGAATGGATTGAGCAATTGCAGGCAACGTGACATTGCTACGGAGTAGTTTGTGGAAGACATGGAGCTCTTGAAAAGGTTGGCGGGGTCACGTTAAATACGACAAAAGATGCTAGGATAGAATTTCAAGAATGCGGTTGTTTTTATTTATTTAAACATATAAGCGATATAAGAATGATTCGCAATAGATATGTGATAGGAAAACGTGAGGGTTCACTTGCTCTGCCACTCGAAGCTAACGCTCACACTGTTCGAAGCCGTAGACACTGCCTCCTGCGTTGAGCCACTTGGCACCGCAGCAGCATAGAACGTCGTGCTTCCACCATAAGATAGATACCCTCCACTGGCCTATCTAGAAGTCAGCACATAGTTCGAAAAAATGAAAGAAGTTTCTTACCGTGAAAACCGTAGCAGTTACGCCAGACCCGCAAGTAAAGGTCGAAGAGCTGGAGATTCCACAAGAGCCTTTAGACGATTTCAATGTGAATCCGGAGGCTAGTTCATACTCTTGTTAGGATTTGTACAGGTGGCAGGAAATGGTACTTACCTGAAGCTGTAGCAGAAAATGTAGCACAAGGGCCAGATGTGTACCAAGTCCCTGCACTGATCAAGCATCCAGTCTGACTACCACTTGTGAACGCATTCAGGTATCCAGAGCCAGAGAATGTGCCGCTGCCTCCGGTGGGACTTGAACTAGCACTAGATGCAGTAGTGCTTGTAGTGCTTGTACTCACGGTGGGGCTTGAGCTGGCGCTAGATACAGTTTTGCTTGTAGTTAACGTTGTGCTGGTAGTCGACGGACTCGATGAAATCGAAACAGGGCTTCCAGATTTTGGAAGATACTTGATACCTGTGGATGAACAGCTGGATGTTTGCCCAATTGGTTCCGTCTTGATGAACAGACCAGTCTGAACAGAGCCTTGGACATTGTAGGAGTACCAGATCTCGTCCAAAGCACCGGAGCTGCACTGAATAGTAGCATCGAAGCCGTACGCACTTTTTAGCGCTGCTTGGATCTGAGAGGCGGTGTATGTCGCTGAACTGGAGGGAACAATGCCTGCATTTGCAAGTGCCTATTTAAGATAATGAGAATGATATTTTCGGTAACAGGAGGGGTTTCTTACGGTATAGCTGTCTAGAGTCTGAAAAATATCAACTGTCTTTTGGAAGAAGTCGGGAATCTCTTCTTGTGGTGTGTAGTCGGTGTAGCAAGAAGGGTCGAGTGTTGAAATACAAGTTCCGTGCTTTGCCCACTCATGTTCCCAGAAGGATTCACTATCGCCATCGATGTCGACCCAGAATTCGTTCATGTAAGAAAGAAGATCCGTCTTTCCGTACGACTGAAGAATGGCGGTGATGTTTGCGTAAGCTCTAGTAGGATCACAATCCGAGTCATAGGTCCCATCGCAATGATCAGGCCAAAGTCCGTGGACAGTCCAGGAGTTCGAAGGGCCAGTTGAAGGAGACGTATCCCAGAACTGAGTCTGGAGCAATTGGCCCCCTGGTGCATTGAAACAGCAGAGGTCGGATACTGCGGTGGTGTTTTGACAACTCGTCTGGGGATTAGAACATGTGGCCGGGGACCCCGCAAAGGCAACTGGCAAGGTTACAAGGAAGGTTGCCAGGACTCGAATAGAGAAATTGGCCATGATGAACTGTTGAAGTCAAACACAATTGAATATCTCACAACAGCAAAAGGAAAGATTCCATGCTTATGGGATAGCCTTGATTTATATATCAAGTCCAACGATCGACCAAGGTACTGACTTGGGTGAGCCCTTCATGGAAGCGTGCACGACTCCGTTGGCGGGGAGCATTTCAAAAGGAGAAGGAGAGGAGTGATAGCGGCGGTAGCTTCCAGCACCTTCAACCATCTCATAGGCTCACTATAGAATTAAGGTGCAGCGGCTCCGGTTCTTGAGCGGGCTAGAAGGGATGCTTAATCCTTGGCCCTGATCGGCAGTCGAATGGGAGCTCCTGATTCATCAGCACTTGCAATCTGAGATCAGGAACAGCCGAATCTCTCAAGGATAGCCTTATCCAATGTGATGTCGTGCAGACGATTCGGCTTGGAGGGCTGCCAGTCTCCCATCCTTCTGGAAAGAGGTTGGCCGAGGTGAAGACACCTTCTTGTTTGATCAGAAGACCTCGCCACTTTTTGCACTTCTGCGCAGAAGCAAGGCTCAGCCGTGTTGAGCTCTTGAGTTGTCGTTATCGCAATACATTATCGTGAAATACAAGGTCGCAGATAAGTTGATACCAGCCCGTCGCCGAGGATGATGTATCGCACAAGATTGTGCATTGTTGAAGAGAGTACTCGTAAGGAAGTTGGGAGAAGATCTTGTCGGGACCCGCCTGACGTCAGCAGCCCCTGGCTTCACTGCGGGGAACATGATCCGATCAGATGAACTTCCCTTCATGGTCTTTTTATTCGTGTTTCCCTATACTGAAATTTAGCTTTATATTTTGTAAGAATGTCTTCATTGCCAAGTTCTAAGTCGAACGCTGAGGATGTAAGCTTTCTCCTTTCGCATCGCATCAATCATTAAGCATTTCTTACATTTAGCCCCCCCAAGCCTGTGGTCAAAGACACAAATCACAACTCTATCTCACAAACTGTACATCTCTGAACAACACTCTCTAGCTCGATGCTCTGATAACAGCAAATCACATCCTCCATTACCACAAAGTCCTCGACGCATACGGGCACATCAGTCTAAGACATCCAGAAAAATCCGATGTCTTCATCATGTCCGGGGACAGAGCCCCGGCGCTCGTTTCCTCGCACCCAGATCTCATCGAATATAACATCTCAGACAGCTCGCCCGTTGACCCAAACTCCAAAAAGGGCTACCAAGAGCGCTTTATCCACAGCGAGATCTACAAGCGATTTCCTGAGATCAACAGCGTGATCCACAGCCACTCCGAAGCTGTACTGCCATACACCATGAGCGGGGTAGCTATGAAGCCTACTTTTCACATTGCTGGATTTCTCGGTACTCATGTTCCGGTCTACGATATCGTACCGCTGTACTCTGAAGACGATCAGCAGGATATGCTTGTCAACTCTGTAAAGTTTGGTTCGAGCTTGGCTTCTTCTTTCTCCGCGTCCAAATCCTCTGCTCCTGAACATAATGTTGTTCTCATGGCGAACCATGGCTTCACAACTGTGGGTACTAGCATCAAGCAGGCTGTCTACAGAGCTGTGTATACGCATGTCAATGCTTCGGTCCAGACTAATGCCATTACGCTACGGAATGCAGCCATAAGAGCAGGTGTTAGCGTGACCAGAGAGATGCAGTATTTGAACGCAGAGCAAGTGAAGGGGAGTCTGAAGATGAATGCTGCGAGCCAGGATCGTCCTTGGGGACTTTGGGTTGAGGAGGTGAAGGCTTGTGGGTTGTATAAGCATGAAGGACGATCGTGAATTAGTCTAGAAAAACAGCGTACTCAGTATTTGGCATAGCGAATGTACAAGAAGCAATCGAAAGCAACGATAATGGT